TTAATTATTTTATTAATTATTAATTATTTTCGAAGACAAAGTTAGAAAATTAGAGTCGCTGTACCAGTTTTTCAAGGGGAAATAGCCCTGCTCTTTTTTTAATCCCACACGTTTCGGACGTTTCTGACTCCGCCGTTCTCACCGAGTTCGGAGTTTGGCCCACTGGTTTTTTTAAATTATTATTCTTAAGACATCGCGTCACTATAAATTGGGAGGAAATGTTTTTTAGAGATTCACAGCCAAAGCAGGGGAAGGGTAAGAATAAAAATAAGGGAATTCAAATCAGTCAGATAGAATTAATGAGGTTCCTTAAATTCCATGGACATGAAGAGGACAGTGGAGAAGATAGAGCAGAGCATGAAGAGGTTGAAACTGGAGATGGAAGAGATTAGTGAGGAGCAGAAAAGCATAGGGGAAGGGCAGAGACAAGTTTAGGAAAAATTCGAGGCCATGGAAGAAGAATGCAAGCAGTTCCGGAAGGAGACGAAGTTCATACCCTTGAAAAGTTAAAGCACCCAACTCCGCCTCTTTCTCATGCGCCAAATTCTCAAAGCCAGGGAGAACAACGATCTTGCCAAGAGCTACCGAGTTGACTTAATTTCTCCGGTTAGTCCCATTTCCTCCCATTATTTCCTATATTATTCATTTGTTCTATACTTTTGTCTATAACTGTTACATGAAAAATTTTAATTCATGATTATGTGGAGGAAACGTGCGATTGTTTATATAATTGGAATACGCGGATTCTATGTTTGGTCTTGGTCGCTAATTTCCCTCAACTTCGCTCCACGGTTTTTGTGTGCGCCAAAAATACGTCTTTTATAAACAAATCCCTTTTGGTTGTTATAATTGTAGCCTTAATTCACCATCAAGAGCACCAAGTAGTCGAAGAATTTGCTAGTTTTGTTAGGCGTTTCCTAAACTGATTTTTTTTTTTTTTTTTTCATTTCTTGATCCTAACAAAATTTTTTATATAGCATAATAAATTTTTAGAAATTAATTGGTATATTCTTCAATTTAATACATCAATACATTTATGAAAAAAATGTAGTCATACATAAAAATTAATAAAATTAACTGCATTTATATTATATGTTAATAATTAAACCAAATAAATGTTAAAAAGTATATTAATAATATTATATATTAATAATTAACTGCACTTATATTCTTCACCTCAATTATATGTAAAAATTGATTGAATTAATTATATTTATATTATATGTTAATAATTAAACAAAAAAAATTAAAAAAATATATTAAATTAGAAGATGTAATAATCTTTTTTAAAAAAATTTTCATGCCTTGAACTTATTTTTTTTATTTTTTAATTGTTTTCATTTCTTGATCCAAACAAATTCTTTTATATAGAGTAATAAATTTTTGGACATTGATTAAGATATTTTTTAATTTAATATACTAAACAACATATTTATTAAAAAATATAATCACATATAAAAATTAATTAAATTAATTATATTTATATTATATATTAATAATTAAATTAAACAAATATTAAAAAATATATTAAATCATGAGATATAACAATCAATTTTTTTTTAAAAATTTTTCGTGCTTTGACGTTGGGTATAAAATTCACAAATAAAAAATTTGAAGAAAATCCACATTCACTGAGCTCCCCAACAAGTTATGATTACTTTTTTAAGTAAAATACAAAATGTGTAAAGAAAATATTATCTTAGAATCTGCTCTGCTGGAACTGACTTTTCTGATGGGAAGAAAAGTCTTGTTGGTTTCTCCTCATGCGAAACGGAGGAATTGCCAATTTTTTATTTTTTTAATTCTCCGTTTGGACCCCACACGTTTCCCCATTTCCAAGTTCCACCAAGTTTGAGATCTCATTTCAATATAATTTGGAGGAAATTTTGAAGAGCTTCTGGGCCTGTAAATACTAAATCGCCGAGGGAGAACAGAAATTTTGAGGAGTACTCATTTTTTTTTTTTTTGGTACATCAGAATGAGGAGTTCTCATTTTCCCCACTGTTAAAGGCTGCTTCAGATGTTTTCAAATCAAACGACGGGTATATACATTTAAGTTCTTTTCTATTTCCTTTTTCCGATGCGTCTGATTTTACGGTTTAACAGGTTGGAATATGAAACCCCTGACTTTGAAATCTTAACTCTAATCATTGGGACATTTTGACCTTATATTTGAATTGTTTTGATGATGACTGGATAACCAAAGGGAAGTTCCTTTTTTGGCAAAAAAAGGGGCAAATTGTAAATTTTAATGTTTTGCAGCTGCAGGGAAAGAGGGTCATGGAGAAGATAGAGCAGAGCATGAAGAGGTTGAAGAAGGAGATGGAAGAAATAAGTGAGGAGCAAAAAAGTATAAGGGAAGGTCAGGGACAAGTTAGGCAAAAGTTTGAGGCGATGGAAGAAGAATGCAAGCAGCTTCGGGAGGAGGCGAAGCTCATAACCATGCAGAGTTGAAGCACCCAACTCCGCCTCTTTCTCATGTTCCAAATTCTCAAAGCCAGGGATAACAATGATCTTGCCATAGCTTCGGAGACGTTGACTCAATTCGCGGTTAGTCCCTTTCCCTTCCATTAATTCCAATTGTTCAATTGCTGATGCATGAATAAAATTCAAATCCTATCAACCATGTGGATGAAACAGGGGACTGTGTTTGGTGGTATATTTGCCCTCTGTTTGATGTTTTTGTTGCTTTCCCTCTACTTAGTTCCAGTTTGTCCGTCTGACAAAAACGTCTTTTATGAATAAATCCCATTTGGTTGTTATTTGTAGCCTTAATTCACCATGAAAAGCATCAGAACAGTTGAAGAATTTGCTAGTTTTTTTAGGCATATCCTGAACTTTTTTTTTTTTTTTTCAAATTTGTTACATTTCTTAATCCAAACTTTAAATCATATTAATTTTACCAGAGTCACCTTTTTTTTTTCTCCAACTAGTTAAGACACCCCTTCGGGCATTTGAGGCATTTATGCCAAGTTCTTGAATTTGAAAAAGTAATTTATTCAACAAGTGCTCATCTACCATGGTATTATACTTTTGCAATGTTTTTCAGTAGATGCTCCAAAAACTGCTGTGAGAAAACCCTGTGAACTTATCACAGCAGGATGGAAACCAGGAATGCTGGTGAAAAAGTTAGGCAGCCAACTTCTTTTCGTATTAGACTTTCAAAAAAAACTTCTTTTCCTGTTATATAAGCGGAATACATATCTTAGAAGCAGAAGATAACCTTATTTACAATCTGTTTTCTTACTTTTATGCGTTCTTCTTTCCTTTTATGTGTGCTTCTTTCCAAGTTTGATGCCTGTAATTAACTCTGTATGGCAATAATACATCATAAAAATATCTTTTGGTGGTCCCTAATTCTCTCTTTTTATCTCTTGCATTCACATATTCTGATGCAATCCCATTCTCTTTTCTATGCCACAATGGTAATGTCATTATTTGATCCATGTTTTCCACGTGTCACAATGCCAGTATTGGCATTCTGGATAGTATGGATGGAGAGGCATGTTTCTCAAGTGCCATGGTTCAGTGTCATGTTTCTCTTGATTCACAATTGAAACCCCTTTTGCTCTCTAATCATTTTTATGAAAGCAATTATTTACTTACTTTCCTGAACCTAGTTCTCATGTTTACGTAGTACTTCAAGGCTTCAAACAAGCATTTAGAATTATATAATTACCTTTTTTATGAGCAGAATTATATAATTTCTTGGTCTGTCCAATTCTATATTTTTGTTTGTGTGTTAATATTATCTTTTCTTTCATGTTTAGCTTGGAAAGACAGAAGTCATTGGATTTCTCTTCACAGCATTTTTTGCAGCAATTTTGTGCCTTCAGCATGTTGGATTCCAGATTATCAGTTTTTTCAATATTTATTTTCAATTAAATCGGTGAGGTGTTCATTAACATTTTTTTTTTCTCAAACAGGATCGCCATGCAGCAAATGTTCACACAGCTGACAACCTGTTCTTCGTGGGAAGTTATTCAAAGAAATTATTTTGGCAGCTGAATCATCAGTTTTCAGTGTTCATCGTCATTCCTGTTGTCATGCTGCAGAGAAGGATCTTTCCACTTATCAAAGTCCCAGTTACATAAACTCGGGATCAAAGTGTCTGATACAGGTACGTACGTGATTAACAAATTAGATTGATATAGAAACATTCCCAGTATAGGTGGTTCAAATTTTTTACAAGTTTTCCCTACAATTTTGAAAGGATTAAAGAGTTACATATGTCCGTACGGATTTAAATTGTAAAGATTGGTTTAAAACTCTTCACAACTAAGCAGTGGCGGAGCCAGAAAATATTTTTAAGAGGCCAAATAGAATTTTAACTAAAAAATAATGAATTTGTGTGTCAATTTAAAAAATTAAAAAAAAAACTTAAATAAGATTTGATAGTTTTTAATTATATATTAATAATAGTTGATAACGGTAATATAAATACCGTAGTTAAAAGATAAAAATAAAAAAATATTAAATTAAAAGATATATATAATAAAGAGAGAGAGGAAGTAAAAATATTAGTGAATAAACATTTTATAAAAAATTAATAACAAACTATTTTTATACAATTAATTTTTATTTTTCCCCATATTTAATATTATATTTATTTTCCTCGTCCTTCTCTTTGTCCTTGAAAGTAATATTTAACAATACAAATGCAAGAAAATGACTAAGATGGTATGAAATAAGTGAGGATAAAAATGATAAAAAGTAAAACATAAGGGACTAAATTAAATTTTTTTAAAAAGCTTAGGGGGGCCTGCGCCTCGTCAGGTCCCCTCGGCTCCGGCAATGAAACCAGGTTTACCACGGCCCAATTCCTCAATATTGAGGGAGTTAGTGCGATGGTGAGCGGTAATATATTGGTTAAGCTTACCAACTAGACTCAGAGTTGTTACTTTTTAGGCGACTTTGGACCCATTTCAATAAATCTCTGATATGTGAGATTAAACCATTTTGTGGGTTTTTCAGTTAATGAAAATCGGTTTCTTCCAATTATGAGGGGAAAAGGCCCTCTAGAGAAAGATTATTTATCCATTAACATTCGAGGTTACATCCTGAAGCTAATCCAACCAAAGTGCTCCCTAAAAACTGAAGCAAATACAACAAAACTAACATTCGAAACACATTTGCTTTTACACCGAAACCATAGCAACTAGCAAACTAAAATTGCTTCAAACCACAAATTTTGGAGCACAAAGGAAAAAAAAAAAAAGAAAAAAGAAGAAAAAAAAAAGAAAACAAAAAAATCATGCTACAACGAACACGATTTTTATCATGATAGTAATTTAAAAAAAAAAACAAAAACATACAAGAAGACTTGAAAAAGGAAAACCTTGAGATTGAAGCAAGATGTCAATGATTTTTTTTTTTTTTTCCCAAACCAACAACATAGACATACATAACATTGCCCTGTTCCAGATGCAGTCATCTTAGCGCGCATAATATTTTCACTTACCTTTTCGACAGGACAACCTAGTTAAGACTTAATTTGCTTGTTCTGCTGGGCGGAAATCATTTCACTGTGATTAAAGGAAAGAAATATACTTTAGCAATACGATGAAAAATTTTCAGACCACATACAATATATATATTTTTTATTTTTGTATTCTACAGCTATTTGTTGTGTCTTTTCTTTTTAAATGTTCCTCCAAAGAAAAATTATTCCTGTATAGACCATGGAAATCTGTAGGACAATTATTTTGTGCCACTACGCCACATATTTTCTTCCTCTGCATTCTCTTTCAGTGATTCAGGGCAACCCGTCCCTACTCTGCCCTGTTTCTAATGTTTGGAAAAGTAGAGCTAATATTTCTCTTGATCTGCTTTGTATAATTAACAAGTTTTCTTCCTATCTTA